GCTTCTCCCTCTCCCACTCCCCCTGCTTGTGTTCCTGCTCTCGCTATGTCTCTCTCTGTCAAATAAATAAATAAAATCTTTAAAAAATAAAAAAATAAAAAGCTATCAGGCACCACCATTTTTGATGGGAAACTGAGGCTTGAAGAGATTAACTGACTTGATCAAGGTCCAGCTAGCAAAGTAAGCCTTTTTTTCACTGTATCATGCTACTTCCTCTGAATTCCTTTTAACCTGACTGGGGTGGTGTCAGTTCATGCCACTGCCTCAGTTTCCTTCTGTGGCATCATGGAGGAGTCCAGCATCACCCACTGTACCCCACTCACCAGGACCTGGCAATAGAGACCGGGAGGCAAGCGTCCCAGCCCTAGGTCCGGGTCAGCCCCAGAGGTTCCAGACAGTCTGGAACCCTAGCAGCTTGACACAAGCTGTCCATGGGTCTCCTTGTTTCCTTTCATCCTACCCTCTCCTGCCCACGGCTCTCTGAGCTCCCCAGATGTCTTGCAGGTCCTGTTGGGTCCAGTTAATAGGGAAGCTGGGCACTGTGCACCCTCTTGTGGTCTCTGAGAGAAGTGCAGGAGATATTTATTTATTTATTTATTTAGCGTATTGAACCCAGCTGGGGAAGGCAGAGCTGTGAATATAAACCCCACCCTTAGGGAGCTTCCTTTCTCCTTCATGTGATGCCATGATGCCAATTCCACTCTCCCCCTTGGTAAGTTATCCAAACCCCCTTGAGTAGAGAGGTTCTGAGTCCAGATTCTCCATGACACTTCCCTGAAGCCTGGACCTTTGACCTAAGAGAGCCAGGAGGAGGCAGGAAGGAAAAGTCAGATGCCCTTTCCTTCCCACTGCCGCCTGATACCCCCTCTCCATACATGCCTCACACTGGGGTCCCGACGTGATTCTCGAAGGCTGAACCAAGCTAGGTCAAGAGGTGGATGTGAAGGCTTTGTGGGGAGGGAGGACAGATGCACTAGAAGGCATGGTTAAGGTCTGTTACATCCAGGATGAGTTCCCCTTCCTTTTGTTTCATTTGAAAAACTCTCCTCTCCTCCCTTAGTCTTGGGTGGGTGGCGGGGGGTGGGGCGCCAGTCCCAATCACAGTAATACATCTTCCTGGATGGTTATTGGTTTGGGGATGGGCAAGTGACCCATGCTGACCAAATCAGGGTCTTCCTTAAGACTTTTGCTGGGAAAGCCATTCTTTTTTAGACCACTAGCTCTAAGAATGTGGGCATCGGGCTGACATATAGAGAAAGTCTATCTGCAGCAGGAGGTAATGAGGACAGTATGAAAAGAAGAGCAGAGATAAGCTAGAAACTATAGATGTGAGGATGGTGGTGAGGGAAGAAGACAGGGGAGAAAGACCTATGACATTGTTTGGGCCACTGGGTTCAGTTGTGCTTGAATTCTTACCTCTGGACTTCCCAGGTAATTAATTCCCTTTTTAATTATTTTTCCAATAATTCATTTCTTTGGCCTAAGCTAGTTTGAGTTGCGTATCTTCATTTGCAATCAGGGTCTGCCCTGAGAGTATCAGCTCCCTATCCCCACTCCCACAGTAACTGCCATTCATTACATATAAGCTTGACATAAATTATTGTGCCAAGTGTTGTGCTAAGTGCTTTTCATATCTCAAAAAAATTCCTCCCCATGATTCTATGATGATGTGAATGGGTTATGACGGTGTTGCCACTTTCCCATTGAGAGACGGAATCTATTTGCCCTTCCCTTGAATTTTGGCTGGTTCTGTGACTTGTGTCAACCAATAGCGAGTGACAGCAGTGCTGTGTAACTTTCAAAGCTGGACCTTAAGGAGTTTCTGCCTTGACATTCAACACAATCTATTTTGAAAGCCAGCCTGGAGAAGTCTGATGACACTAAAGCCACCATGCTGTGAGGAAGCCCAAGCTAGCCACCTGGAGAGGAGCATGGAGGAGCCCCAGGGCACTAGACACATATGAGGAAAGCTTCTTCGACTGTCCAGCCCAGCCCAGCCACCGCAGCAGTGAAGGACCAAATGAAGGACCACAGCCAATAGTTCTGCCATAAGGAGCAGAACCACCAAGCTGAATTCTGGCATTCTGGCAAATTCGTAATCTACAGGATCGTGAGAAGTAATTATTTTGGGGTTGTTTGTTATGCAGCAATAGATAACTGAGACACGATGGTGTTCCCATTGTATAGCTAAAGAAACTGAGGCTAACATGCTTATATTGCAACCTTCTAAGCAGCAGCAGCGGGTTCCAACCCAGAGTGCCTGAATCCGAAGCTCATGCTTTGCCTACATACCTGGGTGGGGCAGTCATTGTCCACTATAGTATTTGGACTGTGGGAAAACTGGGGGCTTCCTGAGAAAGAACCAGAAGGAAGGAAATGTGGTTGGGAGCCAAGAGAAACCTTGGGACAGCTTCGCTTCTTCTCCTTCTGAGTGTGATTAGAAATGCCGTTCTGAGCAGTCTTTTGGACACTAACGGGGGTGAAGTTAGTTTTGATGGTAACAAAGTCAGATGTTACTAATAACATTGTTTCATCACATTCTAGTTTATAAAGTGCTTTAATCCTACGGGCTTGGGTGGCCCTAAAAATCTACCCTCGAATACCCCCAGGGGTCACAGAAACAGAAGGACAGATGAAGGCATCACAGTCCCCTAGAATTAAGATGAGGGCTGATCTGAGAGCTGAGTACACTACCAGAGTTGTCTGGGCTTCTTTTCCTAGACCTGTTCAGTCTGTTCCTTTAAAAAGGGACGGCTTAGGTCTTCCTAAGAGGCAGGCCGGAGAAATGTGGCAAGGGTGACTCTTCATCACGTTGCCAGGAGAGCTTAATCCAAAAGGTGAGAAGATAGGGGCCTAAGGATGACCCCTGAGATGCTAGTTCTGTCAAAACCATCTTCCTTTACGCACTCCTTGGGAAGCCTGGCCCCATGTCAGCCCCCTGGAGGCCAGCCCCCCTCCCAAACCGTGGGCCCAGTCCTATTGGTTTAAATACTTTTATTGATACTAAACTCACCCACCCACCCCATGGCCAGCAGTTCTAAGGAGTCCTGCATCCAGAGGCCTAGAGACTGGCTCTTTGGTTTCCATATGGGGGCCAAAGAGCGAGAGAGACTGCATTGCCTCCCCGCCCCCAAGCCCTCCAGAGCGCTCCCTGGCGGGTTGGGGGGGGGGGTTGGGGTGCGGTTCTCCAGCGCCCTGGGGCCTTCCTGGGCAGGCGTGTATCCCCAGCCCCGCCGCCTCTTAGTTTCCGGAGGCCTGGGAGATGGGCTGTCGCCGGGAGAAGCTGGGCAGCGCCCCCGCTGGGGTCCAGAGGCCCCCCAGCCGCCGGGCGGCGCGTCAGAGACAGAGGCTGAGCTCCTTGCGCACGCGGCAGCGGTGACACTGCACGACGCAGCACCAGTGGAAGCGACACAGGCAGTTCTCCTCGAGCTGCACGCTCTCCTGGCGGTGCCCGCGGCCGCAGCACAGCAGGTCGCAGCCGCTGAGGTCCGGGGCGCTGCTGTTGCAGGCGCGGCCGCGCGTGCCGGGCGAGCCGGTGCGCCGGTTGGGAGCGCAGAAGTCGGGCGAGTCGGCGGCGTAGAGGAGGTCGGCGCGGCCGGGCGGCTTGAGAGTGCGGACGGCGGGCAGCAGGGCCTTGCCGTCGTTGGTTCCCATGACACGCGAGGCGCCGTGGAAGCGCTCGAGCAGCCGCGCGCCCACCTCGCGGAACGGCGGCAGCTTCTGCCAGCAGGTCCGCAGAGCGCACGAGCCCGACAGGCCGTGGCACTTGCACTCGGTGCGCGTATGGCTCCGCACGGCCTGCGGCGGAGAGCGAATGAGCGCGCGGATGGGGACAGATTGCGGGTGCGTGGTATAGGGAGGCCCAGAGGACCGACCTAGAATAAGATGGGGAGGGTGGGGTGGACGGAAGAGAGAAAAGAGCAGGCCAAAAACAAAAAGGAGAGCGCAAGGTGGAGAGGAGGAAATCCAGGGAGCAACAGCTCCGAGAGAAAGAAAAATGGTAAAGATGGAAGAGTAAGAGAAGTGGGGGAAGGGGGGCGCTGTACTGTACGTCGCACAGAGACCGCAGGATCCAAAGTCAGGGATGGGAGAGAAAGCAGAATGGACGGCAGGGGTGAGATTCTCCCTGGAGGGAGGCAGGCAGGGCTGCAGCTGTTCCGCTCTATTCCTCCTACCAACCTACCAACCCGGCCCCCTCTCGTTGCTGCCCCTCACGGCCCCAGGCAGGGCTGAGCAGAGTCGCAGAGCCGGCCTCCTGGGCGTCTGTCTCTGCCACCCCTCCCCACTCCTCTCTGACAGGTATGTGGGCCTGTCTGGACTTTCCTCTCTGGGCCCCCTCTTAGCCCCTGCCTGATGCCTCAGGCCTGAACCCTGGAGGACGCAGAATGTGTGTGGGGGCGTCCCTAGAGTACCCTGGAACTGAAGCCTAGGGTGCGGGAGGGCCCACCGTGAATGCATTACTGAGAACGGGAATCCAGAACTCCTGCCGCTTATTTGCTATTTTGTGTCTGAAGCTGGGGGTCTAAGAGTCACAACCCCACTAGAAATTTATGGTGTCAGATGATACAGGAAGATCATCTCTGGAAGCTCAGAGTCCAGAGGCCAACCTGATCTACGGACTTGTGTGCCCCCCTCTTCCCAGGTCTCTCTCCTTCCTCACACCCCCTCCTGGAAACAGCTGACCCAGAGAGCTTTCTTGTCCCTAAACAGGAGCTCCTGGGGCCCCCCTCCTTGCAGAGGGAACGAGAGAGAGGCTGCCAGGATTCCGAGCAGGGCCCCCACTCTGGGGTTGGTGGGCAGCCAGTTGGCAAGTACCCAGATTCGGTCACAGCTTTCCTGGCCTCTGCCTGACTCCCTCCTACCTTCACCAACATCTACTTTTTGTCTTTCACACCTTTCCAAGCCCGTCCCTCTTGGGCCTGTTCTAGTCCCTCCCAGGCCTTGCCTGGCTCCCCTACCTCCAGACCCCCACACCTTTGCCCCAACTTCTATCTTTTCTTTCATCCCCAGCTTTTGTCACCCTCCTCTGCCCATGCCCTGGCAGCTAGGTCTCTACCTACCCCAAGCTCTGTCCCATCTGTCCGGTCTCAGAGGTTCTTCTGCCCTACTTGAGGTCCCTTAAGGCCCCGAGTCCTCTTCCCTGGGTGTCCCCTCCCTCCCCTCCCCATTAGACCACCAGCTCCAGGTCCTCCCAGGCCTCCCAAGGGACTCCTTCTTCTAGGCTAGCCACCTTACCTCCCACATACCCCTCCCCCCAGCCCATCTTACAAGTAGTCCCTCTCTGCCAGCTGGCTCCCACACACCTAACATACTCCTGCACCCACAGGCCCTCGCACACACCCCCACTTCCTCACGCTTCCACAAACACGCGCCCACAGACCCCACCCTCACCCACGCCCACTCACACCCACCCATGCTCACACATTCACACCCACACACACTCTTACACACCCCTGCCCCCAACTCACCAGCCGGCCGGCCTCGTTGTTGTGAAGTTGCACCAACGCACGGATGTCTCCGCGTCCCCGCTTGTGCCGCGCATCCATAAAGAGCCTCGACTTCTCGTCCCCGAAGTCCACGTCGTCGCCGCAGCCTCCCCACTCCCAGGCGGCGCTGCCGTCTGGGGAGCCGGCCGGGCCCGGGGGCCCGGCGGTGCCGGGCAGACCAGGGGGGCGGGGAGGGGCCCGGCCGCGGGGCGCTTGGCAGCCGCACTGCAGCAGCTCGCCCATGGAGCAGGCCTGCGTGACCGCGTGACTGGCGCCCGCGGCCGTGATCGCGAACACGAAGGCCGTCTCCCGGATGTCTGCGGGCGCGGGGAGGGGCGGTCAGCGGGCAGGACCGATGCCCGGTCCGGGGGCACGGGGGCAGGGGAGGGGCGAGGAGGCGTGGCTGGGAGACAGGGTCAGGGCAGGGTGCCCACAGACCCGTGGGACAGGCGGGGCTCCGGCAGCCTCCCCCAACCCCCCTGATCCCCTAGAGACCAAAAAGCAGCCCCCTCCCCCCGCCCCGACCCCGGGTGCTCTGCCCTCACTGACCCTGCTGCAGGATGCGCCCGAAGGCCTTGCTGTGGCTGGAGCAGTTCCAGCGGCGGAAACGGAACTGGAACTGGCACTCTCGCACCCCAAGCCGGGCGCCCCGGGCCAGCTCCGCCACTACTTCTGGCTCGGCCTGGCACAGCTCAGCCTGCCGCCCTGCCAGCCGCCGTGCTTTCCTGCAGATGCTGGTGGGGTCCATGACCAGGGGGCTGCCCACTGCCCTGGAAAGCGAAGAGCCAAGGTCCCGGGTATGACTCACGGGGCTTTGTGGGGAGGGGGGAGGAGGGAGGGGGGAGGGAGACCGGCCCTGCTCAGCCCAGGGCTAAGAGCTGGCATGTGCCTCTTGTCTCACCCCACCCCAACCGAGTTTGAGATTGTCCTGTCTGGTTCTCTTACCATCCCAGGTCCCTTCTTAACTAGATTTTAGACTGAAATTGCTATAGGGCAAGGATTCGGTCTTATCCTTCTGTGCACATCTTCATTAATAAGTCCTTATAGGAATGTGACTCAAGGTCAAGGCACGGGGCACCAGGTGAGCCAAAAGGGAGACAAGGAAGAAATGAACAGGAGGAAGATCAAGAAAACTGTCAGAGCAGAAAACAGTATGAATCACAAAAAGATACAAAGAAAAATGGGCAGTATCACAGAAGGATCTGGTCTTAGTGGACAACAAGCTGGTTTTGGCAGCTGAACAACCCTGATGCTAGAAAGGCAGGGGCAATCCCAGGGATATAGAAGGCCACAGGATTTTAGAATGGCTAGGGAAGGGAAGCTCTGAAGGCAGTCACACCCCCTCTCTAGCTCAGTTTGTCCTTCTGTAAAATGGGAAGGTTGGGCTTTGATCTCTAAGGTGGACCCTCAACCATGATATCCTGTTTCCTTGAACTGGAGAGCAGGAGGAAGTAGCTGGGGACTGAGTCTCTGAAGCATGATTGTGAAGTAAGTGACGCGACCCTTCTGCTCTGGGGTCTGTGACCTTTTCAAATGGACCTTGAGAGCTTGTTTGGAGGTTCTAGCAGGGGAGCGCAGCTACTCGTATACCCTTGACCGAAGAACGGTCCTCCTCTATCGGGGAAGGTCGTCCTCTTCGAC